AAGTAATTTATTTTTATTTAATAATATAATTTTTATAATAATAATAATTAAGTATTTTGTTAAAACTCAATGATTATACTAATTATATTTTAGATTTTTTATATTTAAAATGAAATGTTTATCTTTGTATTTGAGTATTTGACAATGTTTATCTACAGCTAGTTGCACGAATTCAAACATGAAGCTTTAATAAGTTGTAATTACGCAAAGTTTATTTGTAATCTTGAATTTTAAGTAATATGCATTAATAAACAGTACTTCATGCATAAAAATATTTTTAAGAGTTTTTGTCAAATGCTTTATAATATAGTATAGATAATCTATTTAATTTCTTTGATTTAAGGGGATGTTTGTTTACCTCTTAAGAATTCTAGATAGCCTCTGAATATTTAAGAGATGAATCTTGTTTGGTAAAAAAATCTGCCTCTTAATGGTTTCAAAACCTTTTGAATAATTTGTATCATGGGTCTCCCTTAACCATTCAACACCCTAGTTTCATTGTAAACAATTACCAAACATATATATTTCATTTTACACTATATCATGATAGCCTCTTAATTGTTCTGGCAACTTAATAATTATGCATCAAACCATTCAGCAATTGTCAAACAACTATATAATAGAACTTTGCAATCCTATACATTTAATTAGTTTGGGTGCACAACTTTTATGTATTATATTTTTAAAGATATATTATAAGATTCAGAGATTTATTCTTTTAAAATGTTTAATAACTAAATTGTTTAAAATATGAAAGTTCATTGATTTTTTTTGTACATTTCATATTCTTTCAACATATTAACCGGTTTTACAAGTGAAAATAATCTATTTATTCTGTTTTATAACAAATAAAGATTTATTTATTTAAAAAGACCATCCACAAACCAATCGATATTATTGATTTTTTCTGGATATTTCTGTATAAATAGACTTTATTTAAAATAAAATATGATAAATAGTATGATGATGTTAATCCTTGAATGGAACATGATGTTGTCACAATGTTGTATATGGACTTTGGACAACAATTGTTTTTTTATGGAGCAAAAATTAATACCATAATTTTAAAAGAATAATAATAATATCTGATAAGGATCTAAATATTCTTTAAAATGACTGATAGAAACATATCTATATTTATACTATCTTATAAAGTATTTGGCTAAAACTCTTAAAAACTCTTAAACCCTTCCCATATCTGAATTCGTGTAACTAACTGTAGATAAACACAATCAAATACAGGATAAACATCTCATTTTAAATATAAAAAATCTAA